AATTTGAGCTCACCGAAATCATGCAATTTTGGATTTGTTCCTATAGTAAATCCATTCCAATGCGGATTACAATGTACTTCAATTTAATATTAATTAAATTAGGAAAAAGCCTGAAGGAGTCATGGGAGTTCAGTGATGGAAACTGTATYAAAAAGAGAAAGTCAATTAGCATGAAACTGGCAACAGCTAGGAAGTCAAAACATTTGCAAGGCACCTATACGAGAATGAAGTATTCAGGCTGTAACTTCAGRAAAATGCTTAATCACTCAAATAATGCAGAGTAAATGTATAAATTTAACAATAACAAATTGCTAGGTCAAGGCGGTATCTATGCAAAAACTCTATAGCACCTCAAGTGTAACATAGCTGGAGTTCTCACAAAAATCTGGTCCACCATTCAAAGCAGGSTTGGTGCCAAACTGAAAACATCAGCTGGGACACCAGCCTTGAAAAAAAACATGAAAACTGCTCTGGGGAACTACATTTCAGTTAGTCTGATTTTTTTATCAGGTACAAATTAGAACAAATAAGAGAACACAGAAGCATGTGGATATGTATGATATATTAGAGATTTTTTTAAAGCAGGGCATGCTCATGAATATGTGAGTGTTTCTGAAGAAGCCAATATGTTTTTGGTGAAGCTGATTTCTTTAACTAACTACATTTGGCTTTATAAGAAAACATGGAGTGAGAATAGGAAGAAACAATGGATTAGATAATTCCATTTTTGTTATGGAGAGAGACAGGGCACAATGGAAGATCTGGCCYGACTTCTGTGGGGATAAGGCTATATAAATTAGGGCTTGTCAGCTGGGAAGAGAAGTATCTGAGTTTTATACAGTCATGAATGACAAAGAGAAGCTGAATAGAGAATGATTAATCAATTCTGTCTTTCTCAGAAAACCAGAACTAAGGGACACCCAATTAAATTACTAAGCAGCAGATTTGAAGTAGATAATAATAAGTAGTTTTTCTAACAATACATTATTAAATTGCAGCTCTAATTGCCACAGGGTGCTGCAGAGCCCTAATGTATAAATGGTTTAAAAATGGGTCTCAGCAAATGGAATATTATTACACATTGGTTGCTATCAAAAATAAATGATCCAGATGTCCTGATTCAATGACTTCTAAAAKATGGAAAATATCCCTCAATATTTTTTTTGTTTCTGAGATATTTTCCTTACAAAGCTACTATCAGCTCCCTTGCTAAAGGGAGAATACCAGATTAGATGGCATGATAGTGGCTCCTTTTTTATGAAACTACTTTCACAGTCATTTTTCAGACTGGAACTGCACTTTAAAATAATCTCACTAGACTTGGAGTTTACAGCCCGTGCTCTGACCTTATTGTTACACGTCTTTTGTATAGCCCAGACTGGATTACTGCAATTAATTCTTGACTGGCTTGCCTGAAAGGCAGATCCAGCCTGCAGCTATTGCAGCATAAAGCAACAAGCTTATTACCAGAAAACAGCAGATGGGATTTGCGGACTTCCTGCTTCTTTGTTCTCTGCTTTGGCAGCCTATTAGTAACTACATTGATTCAGAAATTACTACTATATGATACTGTGTAAGTAGCATCCTATAGTAGATTTCTACTAATTTAGGGCATATTATTCCTGAAGYCCAGGAGTAACAGGTTTCATGGGCACATTGGGATGTTTGGGGTTGGTGTAAAACACATTTTATCAATGCCTTAAAAAAAAAGAAAGGAACCATCAAGTCTTCAGTGTGGTTTRTAAAATGCTGATGAAGTTCTGGGTGGATCAAACACATCAGCTATTGCTGGGATACTGAACGGAACTCATTAACAATTATTTAGTAATGTCAATATTGGGAGGAGAATAATTTATGCCTTAAAACCCAAACAATTTTTAGGTTAACTGTTTAAATAACTAAAATGTTCAAATCATCTTTGCAGTAGACAGACCAGCATGAAAACTATAGGACAGTGTGTCCATCAACATATATTTTACTTGCCAGCACCTCTGTGTAAAGCTATATCATTAGTGGAATTATAAGTACACTTAAAATAGAGCAACAAATAAAACACAGCAAAATGCATTTTGACCCTGTACTACATCCACTTGTACAGAAAATGCTTGGAAAAAAGACAGGGTCWCTCACACTGCCTGTGAGCATTGAACTCATTGAAGTATACACAACTTTAAGCTTCTTTTTACCCATACCAYTGGATAGAAATCAGGTTTAAAGCAGTCCCAGTCAAGCAAGAGACAAGCTCTGGACCATTGTCTTGGGGATGAGATGTCTATGATCAATTCATCTGTCTGAAAAGGCGTCTGTACCCATGCTAAAGCACGATATCCTGTCCTAAGCTTTTGCTCTTTAGCAACTGAGTTCTGAAACAAATGTCTGCATTCAACATTTGCGTAGGTGGCACAAGCAGTAGAGGGCATTTGAAAATTTGCAACTACTTGCACTCCTAACTGRGGACAAGCATTCCCATGGTGACTCTTAAGATCCTGTGCTATGATGCTATATGCTCTACTGTGTCTTCAGATGGGTCCCCTGATGTATCTCCAAACTCGTGTCTGCATYAAGATATTTTTAATGATGCAAAATCCAGACCACACTGACACATTCCTGTTCAGACAAATGAAAACATCAGCTATCCATTTACTGGGTTTTCTTTGTTGATCCACTAGATCACTTTGCTTCCCTGATTTAAAAAAAAAAAAAAATAAATAAAGTAATTCCTCCATTTTGAATCTTTTTTTGAGTATTTCACAGAATCATCCAAGTTGGAAGAGACCTTCAAGATAATCTGGCCCAGCCATCAACCTGGCACTACTAAAATCACCCCCAAGTGCCACTTCTGGACACCTCTTGAATGCTTCCAGACACAGTGACTCCACCACTCACCCAGGCATTCCAATGTCTAATTACTCTTTCAGTAAAAAAACTCCTAAATTATAATACATAATGGAACCTCCACTGCCTCACTGTAACCTCCAGCACCAATATTCTCATAAACGTCTCCTATTCTTTTTTCCTTTTCTTCATTGCATACTAGTGATGTATAATAAACTCAATGTTACATATGTTGCCAATTCATCTTTTTATATAATTTTGCAATCTTACTGTATTCACAATGCACTTCATTATTAGTGATAACAAACTGAAAGACGCATTTTGTCTGGGACAAAACATGTAGAAGCTCAATTCTCCTTTTACTTGTGGGAATAAACATTACAGCTACCTGTATTAGTGAAAACTGGACTCTAATAAAACATGACAGAACTGGGGCCAGACGGTTTTTACTCTCAAGATTTTTCCACTTTTTTCTTCCAAAGGGACAGAGTGGACACAACAAAAGTTTTGGATTAAGTGCTACCTGGTTGCAAAGTAGTGCACTGAGGGTATTTATTCTCCTCCCTGACTAAAGTTTTATCATCTGGAAGTCAGTGCTTTGTGCTYCACTCTAGCTTCCTTTCCAGTCATTCTTATAGGACTGGTTGTTATTATTTATACTGCAAGGGTGCTTGAAAGACTGAYAAACAATAGTGCTGCTGTCTGTGAATGTGCAGAAAAAAAGTTTTTAGATTATAAACAAAAGAGAAGAAATTGTGACAAGATGGATTATTTCAAAGTTCAYTAATGCCTTGAACAGAGAATCAGTGCCTGTTCCTCTTTACACCAGAAACTTGAGACAGCAACAAAGCACGGTGAAGGCAGCAGTGGCTAATAGTGCCACTGCTCTGCCTAAAGCTGATGCTCATGACTTAGGTAGTAAAAGACCAACAGCTATTACTAGTGAGTACCCGAGCAACTTACACACTTAGAATCATTTAGGCTGGCAAAGACATCTAAGATCAATGAGTCTGTTATTCCAGCACTGCCAACTCCTCACTAAACTGTATCCAAGTGCCACATCTACACAATCYTTTAAATACTTCCAGGATGGCGACTCAACCACTTCCCGAGCAGCCTCCTATAATGCTTGACAGCACTTCTGGTGAAGGAATATTTCATAATATYTAATCTAATTCTCCCCCGACATCATGCAGATTTGTCCCCAATTTGTTACCAGAGCCACAGGTGACTTAGGACTGTGACTTAGAAGTTTGACCCCCTAAAGCTGTAGCTGGAGGAAATTAACTCAGCGAGGATTGTGTGATGGCTGAGCTGTCTTGGGCAACACTGAATCTCTGTTCACCTCCTAGGTGACAGGAAGGGACATTAGCAATGGCTTCTTTCAGTGCTGGGCAATGAAAGATAACGTAAAAACACTACCGTGAATGAACATTATTCTCTCCCTCCCTCTCTCTCTCTCTTAAGAGAGAGAAAGCTAAAAGCCCACCTATGTATTTGGATTGTCTTAAGGAAGGAATTTCAATACGAAGGCATCTTTCACCTCAGGCGTTCTCCTATACATAACCAATATAKAGTTACGTAGCTTTCTGCAATACTCGGTTCAGTCTTTGCTTCGCCACCAACGCAACTTCAAGAACACGTCGCTTTCCCCGCTTTGAGCCAAAACTCCCAGAATCAGCACGTTTCAAAGCCACAAACGGCGGCTTTTGGCTGAGTTAGCTCCTTTTAAGCCCAACAAAGCCTCTATTTGTGATTCCCATTCCCCTCACACTCTCAATCTGCATAATTACAACCCTGACACCACCAGGCTCTAATTACACGGCTCACGAGAGGCGCGGCGCCCTGGGCCGGATCCAGCCCGCGGGCGGGGCGGGGCGGGGCGGGACGCGGTGGGTGCACCGGCAGGAAGGCACTTTTGTTTCAGCACCCGGGGCTCCCCTCGGAGGTGGCCCCCGCCGCCCTTCCCCGGGGCTGGGTGGCGGGGGCGCCGGGCGGCTCTTTGTTCCTGCCGAGTGCGTGTGCGCGGCGCTCGGGCTGCCGGGGTGGGAGGGGATCCCGCCCTCGCCGCCGTTAACGGGAGCGCAGGAGCGGYGGCGAGCAGGGCCGGGCGGGCGACACAGCAGCGCAAGGCCGGGCCTCGGCGCTGCCAGCGGCGCTCCCCGGCGCTCCCGCCTCCCCCGGGGCCGGGCGCTGCCCTCCGGCGGCGCGGCGGAGCAGGTGCCGGCAGCGRCRGCGGCAGCGGGCCGGCAGGATGGAGGCTGCCTTGCTGAAGCCGGCGATGATGGCGGAGGTGAAGGGGAGCGGCGCCGGCTCTGCCGTCAGCGCCGAGCTGGAGGTGAAGAAGCTGCAGGAGCTGGTGCGGAAGCTGGAGAAGCAGAACGAGCAGCTCCGGAGCCGCGCCGCCGCCGCGGTGGCCACCGGCCCGCCCAGCCCGCACCTGCTGCTGGCCCCGCCGCCGGCCGCGGGCGKGCTGCGCCCCTCCAGCCCTCCCGCCGCGGGCCCGCCGTGCATGCCCAGCCCGGTGCCCACCCTGCTGTGCCCGCCGGAGCCCCTCGCCTACTTCAAGCCCTCGCCCGGGCCAGCGGCGGCTGGCAGCGGTGGGCAGGAAGGCGGCGGCGCTCCCGGGGCGGCGGCCACGGTGCTGGACGAGGTGGCGGTGCTGGAGCTGGAGGACGGCTGCGGAGAGGACGAGGATACATGGTACACGCGGCTCGGCCCTGCCCTACCCTGCCCCTCGCCCCGGCTCGGCTGTGTCCCCAGACCCGCGGGTCGGTCGCCCCACGGCCGGGCCTCCCGCAGCGATCTCCGTTCTGATTAGCATTAGCCCCCAAATCCACTWGCTCTTCCTGCTTAGACTCAAATCTGCTTTTTTTCCTTCCTTTTATATTTTATTCCCTCTGTCCAAACGGTCGGTGTTCCTGGCCCTGCCGAGGGAAGGGCCCCGTGTGCTCAGGTCGGGGCTTCACCGCCCGGCTTGCCCGGGGCGTCGCACCTTCCTTGGGGAGCAGTGCTCGTTTGCCACCCCGAGGAAGATCGTTCAGATCTCAGCCTAGTTTCAGCCTCATGTTTACATAAGGAATTAAAAATAGCGGAATTTCGTTCCGGGAGTGCCTTGATCTGAGCAGCGCWGCCTCCCCATCCTAAAATCTCTGCYAAATTGTCTCCCATCTTCAGGGATTTGGGAGGGCTTTTGTCTTTCAGGCATTGATCTAAATTGTTGTGTATCTTACACGCCCACGTAGCTCCAAAAGGCACCGCGGGGTGCTAGTAAACGGAATAAATCGGAAATGAATAGCGAATAAATAGCGAAAGATAAAATTGACCTGGAGGAATGGTTACCCTCCTGTAAAAACAAACAGAAGTGGAGATTGCACGGTAGAGATGTAAGTAGATCACTAAGGCTAGAGCTTCAAAACCTGTTTSAGCAACGTGGACGAGCATCGTAGGGACAGTGCTATCTTGGAATACTATCTTGGCTGTGTAACCATGTGGAACGTAATCGTTCCTCAGTTGTTTTGACGTGTCAATAATAATATATAGATGACTGATATTTAAATAA